AGAAATCAGACCTTGACATTTGGTAGAAGTCATATTTCCATTGCACAGAAATTAAAAAGGGCAAAAAAAAAAACAAAAAAGCCACCCAAGATCTATGTAAAATCTCCAACCTTATGCTGTAGCAACTGAAACAAATGCAAAGCCAAGGAAAATAGTAACCAATATTCTGCTGTAGCAAGGAAGGGTTAGTTCAAATACTGGGTAATTATCAGTTTACTGGGCCGAAAAAATTCTTTCACTGGCACCATGCAAGTATTCCATTTTCTGGTTATATTATAATTTCCTACTATAGCATTTTATATGACTCCATGAGTTTTATACACTTCTTACTTCTTATAGATGCTTGGTCCAGGGGTTGGCAATTTTGATGGTCAAGTCATGTTTGTCTTCTGTCACAAACCCGTCACGGTCAAAAGAGCTGAACACAAACACAACCTGCCAATTAACTGGTTAACATGATACACCCCAACACTTCTAATTACTATCTATCCAATGGTACAAAACTGCTCAGCACCACTATTTTTGACAACTGAACAACACATAATGAAACAATATTTAAAGGAATCATCACTCATTATAAAACCTATATTTGGGTTGTCCTACAATGAACAGGTCGACTAGGGCTCCTCTCCACATTATACATTGATGTTAATTCCATGTTAACTGGCTGATTTGGGTTCCGTCAGCAAGTCAATGCTATTCATTTACAATTGGGTTGAGAAGTTATTGCACAGACAGTAAAGCATAAGCTATATACGCTACCTTAGTACCATGCCAAGTTGTTCAACTCCAAGATCATGACAGAAATTGCCAACCAACCTTGGTTTTATTTAATTTGCACGCATGCACATTACACATTGATGGTCACTCTTATATATGCCAATTGTAAATATACATTACAACACAAGATACTAAGTGAGTTACTTTAACAATCAATCAATCTTGAAATTTTGTTTTCCCTTTGACGTGATTATTTTCTCTTATCATGCGTGTCCTAAAATCATACTAAAAATGAATCAGAGTAAATAAATTTTTATAGGATTCTACATGCCATCCGTAATGTTAGATGAATCAAAAACTTCGGAATTGAACTTGTTCTTTCAAATGGTATTTATTTGTAGCCTCCTATTGTACTGCGTAAGATAGATCAAATTCAAATCTTAATCCATTGAGTTCAAACCAAGGCTTTTCACAAGATAAGAACTATGGCTCAATAGATGGAGGAGAGGAGGATTTTGCAGAAAAAGAAAAGCTAAAAAATTGATAACACTAGGATGTGAATTGTACCACAAAGATAATGTTCTACCATTATTCGACAGCAAAATTATGAAGTATTCATCATCATTTGTTGCAGCATATGAGATAGTAAAAGATGAAAGCTTTCAGAACTGAACATTGATAAAATATTCATTACTGAAAAGAAAATAGAGCAATATATGATGCAGCATACAGGTCTTCAGAAGAAGAAAAAGTTGACAGCATTAGTCTAAGAAATAGGAAAAATTGCATACTAAGAATAATAATGAAACTCTATATTAAATCTCTAAAATTGAAAATCCATCAAATATAGTTTGGAAAACAATCATGGGCTGGTCATAGTATCTGTTGATAGCAAGAGAAAGAAAATAAATTGAAGTGACATCTTTATTAAGAATATGTCATGCCTTTTGGTAAGAATGTCCACATAGCAATCTTCTCTTCGATGCCGTCGATGATAGGGTCCTACATGAAGAGATGGGTAAATGAAAGAGCAAGAATATGCCATGCATAAAATTCTCAAAAATCAAAAGCGTAAATTTAGGTAAAAACATGAAATAGAAGAATGAATTGGCCTGAAATTGGATAAGTTTCAAATTCCGGTAGATTCACATAATCCCTCCTAGTACTCTGCATCTCTTCAAGATGGTTAAAATCCCATGTTCTAGAATATTTGAAGCACATTAAAATAATTTTGCTATAAAACATCCGTAGCGTTCAATGGCCAAATGCTCTTCAAAAGATCAGCCCATGATATGAAGAAGATATTGACCTTAGCTCAAATTAGGCTCTTTAAGCTAGGAAATGTCAAATGTTGTCTCCATGAAGATTTAGTTCAACACAGACTCATTTATTGTCATCTTAACTGATAAATTATGCAAATTTTAGCATTCCTCAGCACACATTTATGATCGTCTACTAGTTTTATAATCCAAAGCATCAGTGTCAGTCAGCCGGATCATTTACGCCATGATGACCTTCAAAATAAAGCTCCGACTATCTATTAGGTTCAAACTTGAAAAGTAGAGTCTTTCCAAAAATCAATGCATGATACACAACACTTATAAGCCACGCAACAGCAAATCCAGCAACAATTGAATGACAAAAATCGAACCTTGTTTTTTGGGATGAACATTCCGGAACTGGTCCGAACCTCGCTCAGTTTACTTTTTCCAGACTCATTGTCAGCTACCGCTGATCTCTTCAATTCTGATTTTGCCTAATTTACATAACGATTGCATACAAATTTATAAATGCTTTATAAATATAATCAAAGTCATACATTAATCTCAACAAAAAAATCCTAATTACTCATTATTATCCACACTGACCCACTACTATTCCTCTTACTATTCATCTTTATAAACCATTTATAAATTTGTCAAACGGAGGCTCACACAACATCAATCCTTTCCACAACACGTAAAAAGTCAAAACATATAATGCACAAAAGAAGTACTCACAAGAGATATTAAATGGTTGCATTCATCTTCCGTAAGAAATCCTTCGTAAACAAATGCTCTGAAATGCATTTCAAAAAAAAAAAAATCGCTCAATCAATACAACACTATTACTTAATTAATGCCAAAAAATAAGAATTATAAATTGATTCAGCAACTAAACAATTGTATTAAATACCTGGGTTTCCATGATACAGTTTTGACTTTAGACGGATTAATGATCGAAGAGCAAAAGCATTTCTGCGCGATGGATGAGATCCACAGCAGGAAAAATAGAGAGAAATTCGAAAACTTAATCATGAGCTTAAATAGAATTTTTCTTTAGAAAGAGTAGAGATTTTGAGGAAAGATTTAGAATTTTGAGTTCTAATCTGAATTTTGGGATTTTAGGTAGTACGTTGAAGTATCGGTTTGACGATAAATATATATATGGTTTTGGGCGTTGTTGAAATGACGACGTTTAGACTAATTTTAGTTTGGTCACTCAACTTCAATTATTTCAATTTTACCTCCCAACTTTTATTTCAATGACCATTTCGTCCAACATCGTTTCCAGTACTAACCGATCTCGCAACCTGGTGACAGAAACAGTGATTTGGGTAATGGGAATGTGTTCAATTTAAGCTTTTCACGCTAAGAAATGAGGGTTTAAATTATTAATCTACAATTCATAAACGAAACCAAAATCATATTTCCGCATCTGAATCAACCAAAAAAACAAAAAACTACACTCTTTGTAAATTTGGCAAATGAATGTACATTTGACTCATTCTTGTCAACCAGGTCGGTATAGCCATCAGCCGTGTTACGAGATTTGATCATTTTGATAGATATTGGACATAATGGTCAATTTGAAACAAAAATACAAGTTGAGCGATGAAATTGAAACAAATTTAAGTTGGGTGGAATTATTCCTATTGACATTAAAACTTGGAGCCGACCAATCAGCAATTCAAAATATACATTTAAAACCGAAGTACGCATTCAACTTTTCTTATTTCAAACTAAGTACTTGCGTATACTATGCCACGAAAAAAACATATTTGGTGCGCTATATTAGACCAAATAAGAATTAAAATCATACTATCTAATCCTTATGACATGGTGTTTTGTGCTATATGACGAATTAAAAGCTTTCTCTCGACCCTAGTGACAAATTCCCAGCTCAATATAAACAAAATATACCGCAGTTTTGAATGAATTAGTGCAAATTTTTGGAAAGTAAAAGATATGTTGGCCTAAAGAAAGGTGTAAAAAAATTTAAAGTGCATCCTATGATTGTGCACTTCTCTTCCCTTTTTCTACATCTTCAACACATTAATGCAATATTCACAATAGAAAAGGCTAAGTGATACAGTTCTTCGTTCTGAAATTCTAGCCCGTTGTCTAACACTCTGGAGCCTCTCGTTCGAACCTTCAATGGTAATTTGCAACAAGCACGATCCAATACAGTAAAATCATGCGCTAGAGGTCTTGTTGTTTGAAGATTTAGCCAAGTTAGAATCTTCTTCCTCGATCAGCTGCAATGGGCCTGTCCTCTTGAGTGCGGGCCTCTTTTGGAACTTTCTCTTGCTCTGCAGGATGCCTTCGTCGCCTTTCAACATTCGCATGACCTGCATCACATGGAGGAATCATTCGAATTATAACGAAAATATGAAAAAAAAGAGGCCTTCGATGGAATATTAAAAGTTATATTCTCCTCCAATTTCCCTCTATTATCTCCCTCTTCTTCTGTTTTTCCCCTACTTTCTCCTCTTCTCTCCTCTTTCCCTTTCTCCTGTAATTGTTTCATAGCATCTTACATCAGCCTTTTTTGCCTTTGCTTCTTCCTACTATTTAAACTCAAAATTGAAATGATAGAAAAGAAAAATAAAATCATTTATAAGAAAGAATATGTACTTGGCTCATTTGAGGTCTTTCTGTTGAACATTGATGTATACATAAAGATGCAACCATAATCATCCGATTCATTTGCTCAGGATCATAAACACCGTTAAATGATGAATCGACTAGCTCAGAAAGATTTTTGCTAATGATCAAAGGTTTGGCCTGCAAAGTTCAAGCAAATTTTGTAAAATTGAACTCAGGACAAATTTCTATTAGAAGATCATCAATAAATCATAATAAACATTGCTATAGAGAGTTCTCTTCTTTTTGCTATATACGTACCCACATCACGACACTTTTCTGTGACTCGTCTAAAGCTGGGTGACCTGTGAGGAGCTCTAACAATAGTACCCCAAAAGCGTAAACATCAGTTTTTTCATCCACTACGCCATGCAGGAAAAACTCGGGAGGGAGATAACTGCCATTGGAAACAAGAATAACTAAAACTAATTGTACTGACTGAATAATAAAAGTTAGGGATTTTAATAGTTTTCTTAACGGAAATGACAAGATCACGCACCCAAATGTGCCTTCGAACTGTGTAACAGTGAGGTGAGTCCACTGATCGGGAAGCCACTTTGCAAGCCCAAAATCCGATATCTAAATTCAACAACAAAAACTTGAAGTACAGCACAAGTGCATACAGGAATTATGGCTTCAAATATTATGCCATGAAAACAAGAGCTAAACTGATAAAACAGTAGCCAACATGTTGAAATAACACCAACAATCACTAAAAGTAAAGAATTACTTATTCATTTATGACCATATAAAAGAGAAAGATGCTTGATAGAAACTACTGTACAAATATTTTCAGATGAAATTTCTCTATCGCATGTATTCACATTTACCTGAGGTTCAAAATTTTCAGTAAGCAAAACGTTGGCAGATTTGATATCTCTGTGGATGATTCTCCGCTGGCAACCCTCGTGAAGATATGCAAGGCCAGAAGCAATGCCTAAAGCTATAGGGTATCTAACATACCACGGTAGTTTCTCCTTTTGACCTGGATAGCAATGAAACATAGAAACTAGTTTTTACATTGTCGAGGAAGAGGCTTAGAGGAAAAGGAAAAGATACAGATCCCTTTCTTTAAGAAAGTAACGAACAAACCATTAAGTAGGGATTGCAAGCTTCCATTAGGTGACAAGGGAAGAATGAGGTGCATCCCTCCTTCGACCCCATAACCAATAACACGTGCAATATTCGGATGGTTGACATGAACCAATATCCCGAGCTCAGATAAGTAATCTGCTGTCATCTCCTCCGGAGTTCCTCGAATCAACCTTTTAACTGCTACTAGTTGTCCATCTTCCAAGTGTCCTTTGTAAACTTCAGAATAACCTCCTTCCCCAATCAAATTTTCTAACCAAAACATTATAGGACAATGAAGTTCCATCAATATTTTTACATCTCGACATGAAACTAAATGACACAAATATAGTGTTTGCATTTCGAAAATGAACACGAGCATGCAAATTTATGGTGGTTCATGAACACTAAGGCAAATGCCCTCCCTCAGATTCCTTAATATACCGTAGAACTAGGGATAAATGAACAGTACAACCTGGCTTCAAAGAATCCAGCAGTGCAAGCAAGATAAGCAAAGAAAACACGTACCACGGCTGAAATTGTTTGTCGCTTCTTGGAGGTCCAAGAGAGAGAAATTTTTCCATGAAGCTTCGAAACAATAAAACATTTCAGAATCTATACCGGGAGAAAGTCCCGGCAAACTCTTTGTGTTTCTTTCTTTTCTTGTCGATCGTTTCTTGATTGAAGGAAGATGAGGTATAGTAGGATGGAACGTATGCAAATGCATTGCCGGTCCCTTTTTCAGTTTGCGAAGGAATCCTCGCCATTGAGAATCAGATTTCCCGTGTGTTCTAGGTTCTGAATCTGAAGTACTGACATTTGATGTTGCTGTTTCCGACTCTGTTTCTTCCTCACTACCTTCTCTAGGCGAGCATTCGTCCATGGTCTCCTCCGGCACTATACTTAACGATCTCAACTCTAAATTAAAATTCAATGCATAATAACAATTCAGAAAAAAAAATTGTACTTCATTTGATTGCCATTATCAATAGAAGTAGGCTTGAAAAAAAATACGATAACTAGTTTAAGATTCAGTTAAAGATTTTACCATCGGCCGAAAGAGAAATTGAGGAAGCAGAAAAAATTAATTTATGTCCAACTTCAAAAATTTCTCCATCTGAACTTTCTTCAGCAACATCACATGCATTCTCACTCTCGCTGAAATTTAAGAATTCATTCAAGAAAATACATGAAGCCAAAATATATATAGATGAAACAGAACAAATAATCATAACAAAATCATAGAAATCATGACCTTGCGACGAAGAACAATGAAAATTTAACACAAGCAATTTCACCCTAATCTATGCCTAATAATAATTAACATTTTCTCATCAATTCTCCGTCCTTCATTTTTCACCAACTAAATAAGTGTAATAATACGTTATAATATCACAATGTTCAGCAAATATTTCGTAAATCGTAAGTACAGTCAATCTCATCCTATCTATACGTAGACAATATGCATGGAACAATCTTTGGAATATACGACAAATTTAACATTTTGCAAATGATTCAACAAACCAACAAAGGTATTTCTTCACACACAAAAAAATCATGCAGCCTAAAATCAGTAAGAACGACAATAAACAAAGCCTTATTCCTAACAAATTTGAGGTGGATTTAGGGAATACCTCGTAGAGGGGAATGGTTCATGGGCATCCTCCATGGCTGATCAAATAGACAGCCTCAGGAACCAATAGTGGGGTATGCAAATGGCAAATTAGAGACA